TGCTTTATCATCATTAACAGAAGGAATGGCCATGAATTCCTGATCTAACCTATCAGCATAGAGACATCAGTGACCCCATGTGACAAAGTAAAGAGGAGGGGATTTTAAGAATGAATTTTAGTAATATGTGAAGCTCATAGATAATACTAGGGGAGGAAACAGGATAAAAAACAATATGTGTAACATTCTAGTTTTGTGTGTATATGTATCTTGCTATATCTGAATTGTGAAAGTAAAGATAAATTTTCCTTTATTTGTTTTTACTATTCTATATTTTCTGGCTGTTATAATTAATTCTAAATATTTTTATAGTTAGAGAAACAAATTGTTTTTAGAAGGGAAAAAAAATCTTCCCAAAATGTATAAAAGGAGGAATAATTCTCCTTGACCTTTAGGAGCTGCAGCTTGGGTAAAATCAGTTTATCTGTGGATTCTCTCCATACCTAATACCCCCAGCCCCTCTGTTCTTGGAGAGAAAATAACTTCTAGCATAGGGGAAGGGTGATTTTATAACTAGATGGGACAACCAACATTTATTAACAACATGAATTCATGTATGTATTCTTATGCTATTATAAATGTGTGTGTTCTCACTCATACTGCATTATCAGTCCTCAAGGACAAGGTATTATCTTATGTTTCTTTGGTCTCTCTAACAGCACCTTGACCAACATTTGATAACTACCATTGACTTACTGACTGACAGATTGGCTGACCTTGCCATCACTCTTACGTTTTATGCTCACAAAATGTGTTAACATCTTGCTTCATTTTGCTTTGGGTTCGAGAAGTAGTGTTTCTTCCAAATTTACTATGTGAAATCCAACAGCTGGAATACAGGAGCCATTCATCAGAAAAATGAGTTAGGCATTTTCTCAGTTTGTGTGTGTGGCAAGACCCTAATAGAATTTTTTTAAATTTTCATTAGTTTTATGGAAATGGCACTGGGAAGAGGACATGTTAAAGCTCTTTGATTTGAGTGACCACAGTCATCCACACCAGTGTTTTTGGCATCTCTAGTAACTGGCTTCTTGGAGGGAGGGATTTAACACAGAGGATTTTCTTTCCCTGAGTTGGCTGAGAGAGTGATAAAACACGCTTGCGGGGCCATTCTGGTTTCGGCTGTTCCTCGTGTCAGCCAAGACACCCACAGGCAGGAATTACAGTCCACTCTGCCCTCTCACTCAGCTCCAGATGGACAGGGGAAACTGGGAAATGGAGCCCAAATGTAGGGTTTAATATTTAACTTCACTGGGTGTGTTTCCCTGCATCACAAACCTTTTATACTCTTACACACCACAACACTCAACTGTAGATTGAAGCCATATGACATTTCTGCTCTCTCTTAGAAGCATGAGAGGAGATAGAAAAGAGAGAATGAATTGGTTTTCACAAAAGGCAAATGAAAGTCTCTATCACTGTACCTGACACACCTGCATGATTAATGTCCCCATTTGGGTTGCTGGGGGATTTTAGTGAAAAATGTCTTCTCTTCTCAGAAGAATGATATTACACTGAGGAATGCTACCTGGGAATTTATGGGTGACAAGTTTAAGTAGAACAAGTATAGGGATAAATAGCAAATATTGTCTATTTTGATGAGTGTGGAGACATTACATTCTAATAAGCCAGCCATTGTGGTTCACGGTAGTTTTCCTCCTTATGGGTATGCCATGATTGCATGTGCTTGGCCACCAGGTACCCCAAGTCATGATCAGTTCAAGGAACCTCCCAATCCACAAAGCTGCACCTCCCAGGTTCTGCAAACCACCCAAACTTCTTGCTGTTTTGAGTCCACACTGGGTGAGTGAAGAAATCAGAACTGGTGAAGGATCTGGGCACCAACCAGCAAGAGAGATAGGGCCCAGGTGCCCAGAGGGCCAAGAATTTCCCGAGGATGCTGTCTGGAGCTGTACGGGAGCCGCCTGCTGCTGCCGTGTTCATTCGCACACTGGTTATTGCTGGAGGACTCACTGCCTTTTTGAAAACTTTATTTCTCTTATTTTTAAGAACTAGAGTATTGTGAAGTAACTTTACATTTTACTTTCCTTATTTAGCAAATATATATCATATAAATTGCACTGTTAAAATATATATTATAAAATATTAATTATATACTTAATTATATTATTAGGTTTTATTATATAATATGTAAATATTCATTTAATTTTTATAATAATTCAGTGAAGTGTAGTTACTGTGTTTAACTTTGTTTTACAAATTGGAAAACCAAGAGGCTAAATAATTCTACCAAGACTATACATTAGTAAATAGTTGAGCTAAAATTTGAACCTAGGAAATCTGGCTCCAGAGTACTTTCTCTTCATCACTATTAAAATTCAGAAAAATATAAAGCAAAATATGAAAATAAAAAGACAACTATAGATATGTTGCCTTGCAGTCTACCCTATATATTGACTTCCACATAACTGAGCCCAGTCTCCCTATTCAGCTTTGTATCTTGCCTTTTTTCCTGCTGAACCTTATAATAGTCTTCCCACACTGTTAAAAATTCCTTGTAAATATTGTTTTAATGGCTACTTAGTATTCTCATCATGTAAATGTACCATTTGCTTAACTATTCTCTTATGGTTACCCTTTTGACATTTCAATTTTCTATTATGACAATTAGTACTGCGGGCAGAATTTCTCTTCTTTGTACTATACTTTTAGGATACATTCTCAGAAGTAAAATTATTGTATTCAAGAGTCTGAACACTTTTCAGGTTCTAGATACAAGTTGTCAGATTGTTTCCCAAAAGGCTTATACTCTTTTGCCATATCTGCAACACTGTGCAGAGGTGACTTCACCAGTCTCATGACAGCACTGAGAATGATTTTTAGAAAACTATACTAATGTGATAGGTAAAATATAGTATTTTATCATTGCCTTGATCTTGATTCCTTTGATGATTAGAGGACTGAGAATTTGTCCATATTGGTTGATGAGTTACACGAGTATTTGAGAGGTCTGTTCGGGTCCTTTGCCCATCCGTCTGTTGAAAGCATATGGGAGCCTTTGAGTATCATAAAGAGAAGAGCCAATAATTTCCCATTCTTTCTTCTCCTGCCTGGACATGGAATTTCCTTAGGTATTCTCCTAGTCTATACTGCTAACATGCATTTAATATTCCCCCAAAACTGTATGTGGATTTTTTTTCTTAATTCTATATACAGTATACAACTATCTGCTTATAAAGGATATTATTATTTTGTTTTCTACTGAGTATGCCTTGTGCACAAAACTATATCTATCCCTCTGTCTTTGATCATAAGCTCCTAGAGAGCCGGCCTATGTCTTTATGGGCAGTTCAGCTCAAATTCTTTGGTAATGTTCCTAGTAACCATAGAACTGGACTCCCAGCCAAGGCTAATATGAACCAAAGTCGCAATCAGAAAGAAGAACTGTGAGCATAGCAAGCTGCATATGTCAGCGCATCCTGGTTGGATTTAAAGAGAGCCCAAAAGAACCCAAATAGCACCTCTCCTACTTGTGGATAGGAGCTCAGTTTTCCTTGACCAAACATCAAGCCATCCAGTCTTAAGGAGAGGCAGTTCTAGTAGAGGAAGGCACACAGGACTGGGGCCCAAAGTTTATGGATTAGTTCTGTGTTTGCCATCATTTAATGTTTGTGGAAGGGACCCTGGGGCACTTTCTCTACTGATCTCTTTTTCCCCACCAAAAACATAGTGATATCAATAAAAACGGACTTTTATAAAGCACTTTAAAATGTTATGTATGGACTTCCTTATCTAATGACTTGCTTAGTCTTCACAGTAGCCCAGTGACACAGACAATGAATTCACATTTTGCATTCGGGGAAATGCAACAAAACGAGCTTGTTGCAGAGGCGCAATTCTCCATGAAGTATCAAATGAAGACTCCATTATTACATTTTTTAAAGCATACTCTACTCCAAGAAAGTAATCCACTGGCCTAAATTGACCATCAGGCAAAGAGGAAAAAGGAAAAGGCAGGTGTGGAAGATTATAGAAAAGGACCACAGAGGATCCCAAGGAAAACTCCATTAAATAACTAAAAAATGGAAAGAGATAAATGAAACATGATTAGCATGTTTATTTTTAAATAGTAAGAAATCTGTCCATATATTTCTTCATTATATTATTTGTTCACTTTTAGTTTTCCCATTTGTTGCAAAAATTAACAATAATAATAGTTGCGTAAATTATAATAATTCAGCCCTAGCCGGTTTTGCTCAGTGGTTAGAGCATCGGCCTGTGGTCCAGAGAGACCTGGGTTTGGTTCCCGCTAAGGGCACATACCTCGGTTGCAGTTTGTCCCTGGCCCTGGTTGGTCATGTGGGTGACAGCCACTCCATGTGTCCCTTTCACATCAATGTTTCTCTCTCTCTCTCTCTTCCTCTCTCTCCCTCCCACTCTACCTGAACAAAAAATGAAAAAGTGTCCTTGGGTGAGGATAAAAAAAAAAAATTATAATAATCCAAAATTATAATAATCCAACTGTGGGATACTGTGTACCTATTCAAAATAATGAGGAAGATATACATGTGTATGAATTCCTCTGTTAGAAGGACAGGTGAATAAATAGATTTCTGTTGCCTTTTAAAAAATAAAAACATTCTTCAGATTTTTACTAAATGTGAAAAATGGAATATAGGATGGAGGAAGTTAAGGAAGAGGCACTCAAAAGCTAGCCTGTGTAGCAATGTCATCTGAAGGTCTGGCCTTCAGGGTCCAGGACTCTGGAGAGTCTAGGGAAAGTAAGATGCCCTTCAGCTTCAGGTACCGGAGCAGGAATAAAGGTTTCATAAGCCAACAAATTTTGAAAGCCCTTGAAGATGGCAGAGCTTCTGCCCAAATGGTGCATTCCAAATGCTTGGTTAGAAGGTTTTACAGATGAGCTTAAGAGTGAAAGGCATTTTCTCCTATGAAGCTAGGCTGAGTGCAGGCCTGGCTAGGTTGGAATGATCTTTGAAAGTTGTACCTTGCAGTAGCTCAATGCTGTGCTTGCATTTCAGGATTTTACGGGCAGCTGCAGACATTCTGCCCACCACATTACCCTGACTCCCAGAGAACCATGCCGCCCAGCAGCTCCTGCAGCGTGGTGCCTTCCTTCGAGGACTACCTGGTCCCTACGTCCATGGGCCAGGCTGGCTTTGATGTTTTCCACAGAGCCTTCTCAACTCACTCGGGCATTACAGGTGTGTTGGTGTCTGTGACGTAGGATCTTGGGCAGACTGGCAGGAGACACCAGTTGGGTTTCCCGTGACCGGCTGAACTAGACCCAGCACATGATGACATCAAATCCTGTTTAATCTATCGGAGTGTCTCTCCTCTTCACCTTCCTTTCCAGCCCCACTTCCACCACCTTAGTCCAGGTGCCATCATGTCTCCCCCAGACTATGGAAAGAGCCTTCCATTAAGTCTCCCTACGTCAACTCCTCTCTTCACCATTCTGCCTTCCATGCTATCATATGCCTTCCAAAACATAAATGATTTTCCTGCTCAAATACTTTAGTTTCTAGTTGCCTAGAGAATAAAGTCCACTCTTCTAATCATGGCTTCAAAGCCCCCATGAGTTGGCCTGATCAGACTTTCCAAACGTTCTTCACATGTCTCCTGACAGGCCCTGCACCGGAGCTCTGCCGTCACACTGGGCCCCACATGCCCCTCCCTCTCTGTCTTTGCTCCCCGTGTCCTCCTTCAGGAGTGTTTTTTTTTTAACCTCTCCATCTAAGAATCCCATCCTCCTCTATGACTCAACTTTAATATTACCTCTTTTTGAGACCACCTGCATCCTTCCCCAGAACACTTCACTTTTAATTATACTCAGCCCATGTTTTGTGCCAAGACTTATTTTGGCCACCTGTCTGCACCTCAGCCTTCTCTTCCAATAAGGTGCTTGAGGAGAGACACTTGCTAAAGGTCCCAGGTCAGCACAGTTGGCTCCCTGTGCACCAGTGGGTGTGGCGAGGCAGGAGTTGACTTGTGTGTTTGTTCTCTTCCAGTGTATGATTTGCCTTCGGGTTCCTCAAGCCTCTTTGGAGAGTCTCTTCGCAGCGGGCCTGAAGACACCACGTTCTTGCAGATCAGTGCTGTGGACCGCTGTCCTAGCCAGCTCTCGTCTGTGTATACTGAAGGCTAAGAGCTCCCCTGGCCTCCACTACCACTGGCATCCAGAACCTTTTGTCGCTTGCCACCTTTGGTGTTCACACCCTCACAGACTGCATGGAATGATGGCAATGAATCAGCAGAACCTGCGAAGCCACAGGCATGTCATTGGAATGCAGGACTACACAGTCAGAGCTGGGCTTGCAGGAATGTTTGCATTTGCTCCTGGTTCTCTCTGGGTTTGCTGGTAACCAGCAGGACTGTCTTTTCAAAGGGAATTTAGACTCTCACTCTACCAGATACCTGTTACTTCCTGGCTGTCAACCCTCAAAGGACACCAGTGAAGTGACATGCATGTGAAAATGTAGTTTGGGGATCGCCCTTGCTGAGCACCCTAAATGGAGAGGGACCACGCAAATTGCCAGAAGCACAGAGAGCCGCCTGGCCCATGCGCGTCCTCACTGCTGGCACGGCGGAAACCCAGGTCCACAGCACAGGTGAAGCCCCGGGTTTCCAGCACCAGCCTGGCATTTCAGTGAGCTGGCTGCCCCTCTTTCACTCCTCTTCGCTGTCCCTGTGCTAGCCAGTTGCTCTTCAGTGTTTCTGCAACAGAAACAGGAGGTTCTGTCAAGTACAACCCCTTGAAAGGCACTACAACTCATTTCATGCTCCAAAAACCTGTCTTAGTTCTTTTGTTTTAAAGACTTGTTATTTACATCTACTTTAAAAGGAAAAATATATTTAGAAGTCTGTTTTTTTAAAAAGTTATTTTAATCACCCCAGCCACATACATTTGCCACAGCTGTGCAGCTGCGCCTGGCCACACCTTGCAGCACCTGTGAGCATTCGTGGAATGTTCATTTTGCATTTCGCAAAGGCTACCTGAGGGAAACAGGGTGGGCGCCCCCTCTTCCCAGTGCTGTGGCAGGAAGCCTAGAGGGTTAGCAGCACCTCAAAGACCGTGTTCAAAGCAAAAGTTCACATGACTGGTTCATCCATTACTTCCACTCCGGTGCTCTGCCCAGAGATGGGCTAGAAAGTGTGAGCACAGGGCCACACTGAGTTATGTTCCCAGGTGTTCTTGGAAAACCAAACTAGAGGTGCTCTGTGTCCATTCTGCACAGCCTCTGCTCACCTCCCTCAGGATATCCACCATCATCTGTCTGTCTCTTCCCTCCACCTGCATTGTTCTCACTCTTTTCCTGACTGTGGTTTGGACATGCCCACCACCCACCATTGTCTGACCATCACCTCTTAGCAAGGTCTGACCCAAGGCAGGTAGAGGAAACAATTCTGGAAAGGTGAGCAGAAGAAGGCAACCTTTTTTTCCCCCTAAAACTCTGGTTTGAGGGCCTGGGATTTTCACAGAGCACTTAGCCATTTGATATCAAGCCTTAAGAGAAAGCCGTTTTCTGGGGCACATTTACAAAGCTTTAAAAAGATCCTGAGTCCTATGGCCTAGGCTAGAAAAATTAGCCAAACCCCAAAGACCCCCACATGTAAATTCTGACATTCCAGTACTGTCACATCATGCTTTTTTTCTCTCCTTAAAAATGTTTTCTGAACAACAATGAAACGATGCTGTTTGTCAAACAGAAATAATTACAATCTTCAACAAGACAAATAGCTTGGTGTCAGACTTGGGCTCCAGTGACTGTTGTATCCTGACAGATGGGTCCTTCCAGTCCAACGGCACAATCAGTAGTATTCTGCCTGCTTCCGGATCTCATTCAAACATGTGGTAGAATAAGGGGAATAAAGAACCAAATGTGAGTCCATTTCTGACTAGTGAGCTCTGATCTGAGAAAAGCCATCATGTAGACGTCTGAGTCTGTAACAGAAACAAGTTAATCACATTACAAAAATCTGTTCTACTTTACGAGAGGATGCACATCAGGCTTCCTTTCCAAATGTGCTCTCAGACTGCATGTGAAGTACCACCCTCCTTCCAGACATTGTGGGTCGTATCACTTGGCCTAAGCAAGGACACACACATACCAACACTGGTGTCCCTCCCATGTCCTTGTCACACTCTGGAACGAAAGGCTTTTTAGAGAGACAGTATGTCCGTTCTTAATATTGAAGCTTTTATGAGGAACTCAAAATACATTTCATTTTTGTGATGAGGAAAAAGATGAAAAGGCAAGGTTGTTCTTGCAGCTGATGTTGTCACCCCTGCCTGGGGCTTTATATAATTTAAAGTGGAAAGGGGGAAGGATGACGAAGCCAGAAGCTGAACCTCAGAAACCGTGGATGTCATCTCCTTTGGCTGGAGGAGATGCTCCTGAGCCAGTTTCTGGTCTTACCTCACAGTGGCCCTGCCCGTGCAGTGCTTCACTGTGGCTGGAGGGAGCCGGGGCAGCCAGGCATCAGCAGCACCTGCAGGGCCTCCTTCCTCAGCAGGAATTTGGGCAGCCCCTCAGGAGGGCATTCCTGTTAGCAGATGGGCATGCAGGACGGCCCAGGGCTGCCTGAAGCTGAGAGCCCCTCCGGTGCCCTCAGTGTTCCTGATGGTGCAGGTCTGAGCTGAAGGCCTCAGGACAGGGCACTCAGGTTCCTTTTAGACTATTCATGCTGTCCTCAGATCCCAGCATCTCACCTGACCTTAAAAGTTGTTTCTTGCTTGCTTTCACATTGCATAGGATTTATATATGCTTTCATTATTATGCTTGTAGCAGTAAAAATGGAATGTTCAAAAATGTATTCCCTCCCATTTCTTGGCCTTTTTAGTCTTGCCATGTAACCATTTTCATTAACATCCAAACAGAGATTGTCATCCCCCTTTCTTAAGTAAAAACGTGCCTATGAAAATACACGCAGCCCAAAGCTAATTATCCTATTACATTAAAAAGAAGAAATCAGTATGCCTAGAAACATTTCATTTGCTGCATTGTCTTAATTCTCTAAAGGGACTGCATCAAAGTGTCAGTTGTAATTTAGCCTCTGATCAGCTGTTAACGATTATTTAAATATTTACTATCCTGTGGGGTCCCTTTACCCATGTCTCCCCCAAATTACCTAGGTGATTCTAAGATGGACACTAGGTCTTCAGTGGCTCACAGCAGTTTCCACTTGTAAAACCGAGTGTCGGTGGTGTTCTGTAGCTTTTACATTCCCAGCTGTCAAGCACATTAGTGTACTAGAACAGAGGTAAATGTTCATCTTCCGTCCAACAACCTTGACTGTTCAGTTGCCTTGAAGTATTGGGAATAGTGACTGTAAATGTCTGATTTAATTATTTGGTGTTTTATTTGACTGTTTTGACCATGTCATTTTATAGCAGCATTTTTTAATGGCACTTTTTGTTGGTGGTGTGGAATTTCTGCAGTTAATTTTTTTTTTGCAATGGATAAAGCAAAAAAAAAAGAAAGAAAGAAAAAAAAACACTCATTGGAGAAATGGCGAGTGTAAAAAAGAAGAGATTTATTTTGTACAGACAGCAGAGCATCCTGTGTAATGTTGCTGACATAAAGCACTTTGGGGGGAAGAAGTGGAAATCTGTTTTCCATAAATCACACAGACTCTTGTACATAGTTATATACACTCACGTAGAGAAATGAACTGCATATATCATACTGGATATGGGGCCGATTTTACTCTAAGGGCACATCTGGTGCTTATTGTCATAAATCTTTTAAAGAATTAGGTACACTTTTTTTCTATTAATATGTATAGTTTTGTGATTTGTCACAGTTATGTTTCATATAATCATAAGTTATTTTGTCTTGTTTCATGAAGTCCTTTTTTATGTCAAAAGTAAAATGAAGGGATTGTGCACTTGGTACAGAATAAAACTGGAAACAGAGGACATGCCCACCCTCCTGAAGTCCTCCCTCACCATGTCATTTTAACACACAATGGCAACAACTGTTTTTTGTTTGTTTGTTTGTTTGTTTTATTATTTTGTTTTGTTTTACCAGCCTCCTTTATATTGGGATGGTAATAATAATTAAAAGCAGATGGGGTAGGGGAGGGAGTGTCCAAGGCCAGCTTTAAAATGCCGCATTGCTTTGGGCCAGAGCTGCAGCCTGGATTTAATTATAGATATGAGGACGAAATGGCAGTAAAAATGAATGTGTCCCTGAATCCTTTACATGTTGGGAGTGTCCATAAATAAAACATGAAGTTTTATTTCATCAGATTTAATTAAAGCTTTTATACATGTTTTATTGGTTATTCTATTAATCCGCTTCACAAACTGGATAAATGTGTGCCAGTGTTTGGGTTTATTTGTGCCTTTTCAGTGTAGTGCTACATCATGCTTCAGAAATGCCTCTAGTGCTTGGACCTCCAGGTGATAGGGTGTCGGCGTGCTGGCCAATGGTGGAGTGCGTTTTCGGTCCAGTTTTTCTAAAACCCTGTAAAGATAGACAAAGCATCAGCTTCCCCTTAGCTGATACCCTGACCTCGGAAGTCCTCTGATTTCCTTAAGGAGAAAGGGGCAGTGAATGACCGTCTCCTGATTCCTCCTTCCCACCCTGAAGGTTTTGGAAAGCCACCTGACCCACCACCTGTGATGACCTTCCCTCCTCAATTCCCCTCCTGGGGGGAGGCTCGGGGGAGAGGTGAAAGTGGTCAGGATATTCTCACACCTGGCTGACCAGTTAGCCATGCACAAAATCTAAAAGGTAATCACATGATCTCAAGTACGATTCTTTGACAATAGGGGGGATACAAAGCAGAAGGATGGTGGCTCCCATGCACTTCGACTGGCTCTTCAGAATGCTGGGGTAGGTGTGGTTCAGGGTTTGGAAATGGAAACACTGCTGACTGACCAGACACAAAATGCTTCTCTACTCCCTAAAAGGAGGCAGCTCCTGAGTGTTTAGTTGGTCCAACCTTCTTTGGAGAATAGTTTAGTGTTAACCGGTCGAGTTGAACATACACACATCCTATAATTCAACAATTCTGGACTTTTGCATAAGTCAGTGATGGTTCAGATACAAGATGTTCATAGCGATGCTATTCATAATAGCCAAAAGTCTGGAAATGACCCAACTGTCCATCAACAGTAAAGTGAATAGGCTCTGCTAAAGCAATGCAGTGGAAAACCACGCGCGCCGACCGTGCCAGGACCACAGCAACCTGCCTAACTGGGCGAGGCTCACAGACTATGCGGAAGAAAGAAGGCAGACACAAAAGCATACATGGTGTTATTCTATTAATACACTGCTCAAAAAAAACAAGCAAAATTCAATTATAGCAGTCCCCCTTACCCCTGGTTTCACTGTCCCCAGTTTCATTTACTGGCGGTCCACTGCGGTCCAAAAACATTAAATGGCAAATTCCAGAAACAAGCAAGGAGCGTCCACCCTCAGCTTCCCTCTGTGCAGGTGCGGATGAGGGGAAGTTCGAGTTTTACAAGCCCGGTGATGAAGTCTCGCGATGTTTCACTCTGCCCCGCCCTGACGTGAATTACCCCGTTGTCCAGCGTCTCCACGCTGCGTGCGCTCACGTCCTCCAGTCACGCCCAGTCTCCGTCTCAGCCGTCAGGCTGACTGTCCAGGGGTGGCGGGGCTTGTGTTAAGTGGTCCTTATTTTACGGAATTATGGCCCCAAAGCCCAAGGGTGGCGATAGCGGTGGTTCGGACGTGCCAAAGGGAAGTGTGAAGTGTTACTGTGGTCAGGACGTGAGTGGTAGCCCAGGGCTTCGTCACGGTGCCTTCGTCTTCACCTCGCAAACCGCGAGGTGAGTACAGTAGAGGCGGCATTTTGAGAGCGAGCGAGCACGTTCGCAGAACATGGATTGCAGTATTTTGTTATAATTGTTCAGTTTTTTAATCTTTATTGTTGAAAGTATTACAGATGTTCACCCCCACACACTTTTTTTTTTCCATTGACCCCCCCCTCCTCCTCCTTGCCCCTACCCCCTCCTGCTTTCCCCAAACTGTTGTTCGTGTTCATTGGTTATGCATATAGGCATGTAAGTTCTTTGGCTTAGCTCGTCTATGTTATTAGTTGTTAATATCTTACCGTGCGTAATTTAGAAGTGACGCTTTATCGCAGCATGTATGTGTAGGGAAAAAAACAGGCTATGTAGGATTCAGTACGATCCGTGGTTTCAGGCATCCACGGGGGATCTTGGAACGTATTTCCTGTGGATAAAGGGGCTTACTGAATGGAGTTTAAGTGGTAAAGTATGAAGAACAGCCAGGAAGACGTTACCACACAGGTCCAGGGACTGATGCACTGTGTTTCGGAAGAAAGGACACATGGAAGACTCTGAGCTGATGACCAACAGTCTTTTATTTCTTCACGTTAGGTTATATAGGTGATTGCTTTATAATTGTTTTTAACTGTGCATATATGTTTTATAGTTTTTAGTTCAAATACTAGTGACTATCAAGTCTTATGTCCCCTACTTCAGGGGCTTACAAACTTTTCTGTAAGGGCCAGATAGGTCAGAGTCCAGGCTTGGAAGGCTACATGATCTGTCTCAATGTTGCAGCTCAAAATCAGCCAACACACAACTAAACACATGGATGTGGCTGTGTCCAATAAAACTTTATTTGTGGACACAATTGGAATTTTCAGATGTCATGAAATATTTTTTTATTCTGATGTTTTTTTATTTAAAAATGTTTTTTAAAATCCTTAACTCACAGAAACAAACAAAAAAGGCAGCAGGCGGGATTTATCCCATGGGCCATAGTGTGCTGACACCCGTCAACTGAAGGATCGCTCCCTGGTCGTTCCCATAAACATCCACCCAAAGAAAACCGCTGTTCGGAGCCCCTCTGGTGATTCTTCTGCTGCATTGGGCCCTGTTCCTAGAAGAAATTCATGAGCTCTATTGATTAAGCTTTTCTTTGTTTAGATTCTGGGTTCTGCTTCCCGGGATACAGATGAATGCCTACAGCCTGAAGTGCCATTCGGTGGTATCTCTGGATTTGAGGTTTTAATAAAAGGAACTGGGCTTAGAGAGATCTGTGAGAATTGGAAAATGAGCACCCATTCTTTCCAAGCTAACCAAATATTTGCTGGATCTTGGCAGCCATAGCCAACCTTTCCTCTGAAATGCTGAGAGGTTATAAGTAATGGGAGACTTCATTTTTCTCAGGCCATAGTCTTATGAAAAGCTGGAGCTTCCTCTCAAAACCTGCAGTGTTCTCAGGGAGCTGAGAGTCGGGGTTTTATGTTCAGAGACTCCACTGAGAAATGGTTGGAGCAGAGTCAGGAGCTCGGACAGAGTTTGTACTCCTTCCACCAGCAGGAGAGCTGCTCAACTCTCTGAACTCGGAACCCTGGTTTCCCATAATGCCTAGTTCCCTAATTCCCCAACTTGGGAGTTTGTTAGCCCTGATGGTGCTGCCTCTCAGCTTCTGGGAAAATGAGACTGAATTCACATGGAGCACAAGCGTATGCCTCTCTTTGTATGTCTAGATTGTGATAAAATTGATAGTTTTAAAATATGGGTATTCATGAGTCCTGAGTGATTTGCCAGTCCTAGTGTGGACTGAATCCTCTTCTGCAGGTCTGCCTGGTGGTTTCATTTGCTTAGGTTTGTGCACTGTGTATGGCTCTGATCTTAACGTGGCTGGGACACAGTAGCTTGGATAACCTGAATTTTATAAAGAAAAGTTTCACCAAGAGGAAGCTTAGAAAATATCCAGTCCAAACTCATCATTTTACAGAGGAGGAAACTGGCATGGTTACATTCATTTATTTGTTCATTCACTCATTCAATATTGTGTAAAATAAACAGGTAGAAGTGGTTCTTACTCTCACAGAGCTAACAACATGGGAGTCTCAAACATCATCTGCCTGAGAATGTTGCCCGAGGTGCTTGTTGAAAAGGCACACTTTGGGAGCTATTGAATGCACACCTCAGAGCAACTAAGTTGGAATTTTTAGGGGTAAGAAGAGGCATCTGCATTTTTAATAAGCTCTCCAGGTGGTTGTTTATACAAACTAAATTTGACACCTACCTCCACCTTGATACAGTGGAGGAGGCCAACCATTTAATAGGGCAACACAATACAACAAGAGCTAGGTAGAAGAGGGACTTTCATTCCCTGCCTGGGGAGATGAGAGCTGGGCCAGAGTTTCCTGAGGGAAGGGATGGGTGCCCAAGCTAGTTCTGTTAGTTAAATTAATCTTCAAGGAACAAAGAAGCAGAAAAAGGATGGGCCAGACATGTGCATAGCCACCAGGAGAAAGAATATAACATGCTAGGGTCACCCAACAGGTTAGCTGGAGGGTTAGAAGTGGTCTTGTCTCTGGGCTCTTAGTACTTCTCTCTCCCTGAGCCCCAGCCATTCTTGTGTCGGCTGGAGAGCTGAGGGCATTATTTCCCTTTTCAGCAGGGGATGGTATGTTACCAGTTACTCTGCAAATAAAGGTTCCACTGTCAGATTAGTTTGGAGAATGGTG